TTTATTTCCTGAAGAAATTTCTAAGGGCAAACACTGATCAAAAACTGCACATAAATCTTTGTGCTCTTCTGCAGCTGAGGAAAGGTATGGTAATTATTTGTTTTGCCATGTGAGAATAAAATATGGGAAGATTTATATCACCATGCATATAAACAAAAAACTAGTAAAAAATGTTTTCATGTGGGAGAGAAGGCAGGCAAGGTTACGGTTCTCATCTGCCAGTGAGACAACAATTCTTCCATCCTACTGTTGTCTATTCAATGTTAGTGGAAAACAGGACTGCGGGAAGACACTGTATATGGAATATTTACCAATAAGGAAGAACATTCCGTTTGTGAAACAACTGTATTTTCTAGCACACCAGTCCTTTCAGGAGAAAAGAAATCAAATCTGGCATGTCTGAATGTTATGGTAGAGACTATGGAAGCTGTTTAAATAATCTATTAAATAATATGGAATGAAAACCCTGAAATCTTGACCTAATGAACTGCATAGCTTTATGTTCTTTTAGGCTTCCTTTAGCTGTATAATACCTATATGTTACAAACATAAGACACATGTCATCAGTATCTTGTGGCCAGTATTTTTATTTCAGAGTTGTCTAGCCTTTTCCTTGTGGCATTTGCATAAGCATGCCAGCCTTTTGTGTATGGTCTTTGATTAAAAGCTGCATTACATTATGCAGAACACAGTGCTTGTGCTACAGCAATCAGCCTGGACAGATTAGACAGATCAGCATGTTGGAAAGTGGAAGGAAGCCAACAGAGAAGGAAGTGATGCCGGGACAGAGAATTATGTATAAAATGTACAGGTAGTTTGTATCAGCCAGAAAATCCTGACTCTTGGCAACTGTGAGAGTACTTACAGCTGTCTGTCATGAGGTCCATGTAATTAGTGGACTCCGACGAATGAGTTCAAACAAAAAGGCAGGATAAGAAAGCATCCCACAAGAATTGACGTCAAGTGTCCACTCGATCCACTCAATCTTGACCTTGAGTCCATCAAAATACGTCTGTCTTTTCTTCAGGTGTCCACCTTTGTCAGCATTGCTAGGTGAGGTAGGACAAGAGGAGGCACTAAAGGAACAGTAAGTGAAGCATAATCTTAGTGGGGTCATGCTGTACTTTCTTCGCATGCAGTTACGATGCACCATATTCTGTTCTCAATAGAGGTAAAAGTGTGCAGCATCTGGAGCACAGCATAAGATGCTATAGCCAGTGAAATGAAGAGTTTCATTATGTTGGAGAATAAGCCATGGCCTTACTCCAGCCTGAAACCTAATCATATTAATGGTTCTCTGATAGTGGGGGCAGTTGATTCAGAAAAGTAATGGACAGATAGTTGTTCCTTCCAATATTCCTAAAGCCCTACAGATGCAGTATTAGAACAAGCACTGATATTTAATTTCTAGAAAGACAGGTGCCAGACTTCAATCACAAGCATTGGTTGTGGAGTATCTGCACTCCAATTTTATGTGTGAAAGGGCTGTGGTAATCAACTCATTTTGAACAGGTTTGTTTAAGGAAGACAGTCGTGCTCAAATATCCCAGGATTCAATTCTGGTATTATAAATCTATTTGTGAGCAGTTCCTGGATAAAATCTGATTCAGAATAGTATCTTGACAGTAGCAAATCCTAATCTTTAGGAAGCATGACAACTCTAGCTGGGAGACTTTGGGCACTGTTGTCCTATATAGGAATTTCTCTTGGTTGGACCTGGTATTAGGCAATTTCTTGTTTCCATCATTGGTCTTATAGAAGAAAACTGGTACAGCATACTGACCATATAAATAAAAACTGAAAACTTAACTGTAGGGATGAAAAACAAACAAATCTTTATTACAGACATAGACTAGCATAAGGAGAGAGGGTTACAGTCTCATAAAAGTGTTGTACGTTGAAATCTAAAAGGCTAGAAAACAGAGGTATGTTGAAGACTAAGGCACAAAACTATTTAGAAAAGGGGAAGGGAATAGCAGGGGATGGAGAAGAAGGGAAATTGATGGGGGGGGGAGCATTCAGGGTGCAAGGAGGGGGGGCACTAATTTATATTTCTGTTAGATGATGGTTGGATTGCTAACTTTTTGAGACCGTCATCACCCGGCAGATTTTAAATACTGCTGCATAGAACTTGGGTTATAACTGGATTGGTATCTAAAAGCAGCAGGGTGGTGTAGAATTGTCCTGAGCGGCTCAGGTAATTATATATCAAAGGTAGGTTGAGTCTAGATCAAATGTCCCTGTAGAACAGGCACTGAAGGAGCACATGTTCAGTTGTTTCTGTGTGACCCGAGTCACAAAGGCAGAGTCTCTCTCAAAGTGTGATCTTCCGGTATTGGCCTTGGAGTACAGCTGGTGGAAGGACATGACACTGAGCATGGGTGAAGATCGTCCAATGACTGGGAACCTCTAGATTGGTTAAGTATGCCATAGGGGAGGTGAGATATCTGCTGACTTCATTAACAATGAAGGTTGGGGTGGAGGCTAGATCCAATTGGTGCTTTGTTTCTGTTATACATTGTTTGACGAGTGCTTTGGCTTGACTGTATTCCATACTGAGTAGCAAGCCTGGGGAGAAGCCCAGTGATGAGATTTTAGCTGCTACAGCCTGTTTCCATGTAGATCAGAAGTCATCCTCCATGGTTAATGGGGCAAGACCCGGGGGAAGTATGGGATACTCTTAGCCAGTAGTTGAGTGTGACCCTGGCCTTGGGTTTCCATTTGGTTCCAAATCATGAGACCCAAAAGTGTGAAAACCATTAATCTCCTGTGGACACAGCTTCAGATTCACTAATATGCACAAAATGCAGTGAGGACATGATGAAGCCCACAAAAACATAAGAGAGAGAGAGAGAGAGCATTATGTTAGAGCACAAGCAAGGAAAATCCAAAATCCATTATTTTCTGTGAAGTACTGAATGGACCTGGCTTAAAGGCAGACAGTCATGGCTCAAGCGGACTATGAAGATGGGTTGTGGGAGAACAGAATGTATCAAAAGGCAGAGTCTTGCCTCTGGGTGAATTCAGACAGGGTTTTGAAGCTGAAACTGACAGGGTGTTGAGCTGACACAGACAAAGCTTTGAGCTGAGAGAGACAGAGTTTGGGATTTGAGATGGAAGAACTTCTATGGTTTTGGGGAGTTTAAAGAATAGATTATTCAAGTTTAATACATTTTCTCTACTGTGTTAAATAAACCTGTTCTTATTGTTATTTTAAAAATGTCTTTGACTGGCTGTCAAGCCTGAATTGGAGTCAGGCCAGCACATCACACTCAAAATCCTACACACAGGTCCACACTTAAGAAGTCACTGTGAGTTCAGAAACCCAATCCAGAAAGCAAAGGGAACTAAGAGCAGGTGTGTGACTTGTGAGTTGTCAGAACCCAGCCACTTTGAGTCTCCTTTGGGAGACTTAAAGCGGAGTATAAATAAATAAATAATATAATAACAGCAACAACAATGCAGACAAGGTTGTATGATGTGAAATGGATAAATGAAGAAACAGAGAAATAAATATCTCAAAAGCTAGACCAGACACTGTAGTTATGAAGTCTGGAGTTTAGAGTCAATCTGGAAGGAGAGGAATGCAGACCTGAATGATTTAGTTATTGATGAATAATACAATCAGCAGATTAGACCTAGCAATTCATACTGGGATGAAGAAATACTTTCTGATCTCTATTTCTGAAAATATGAAAGCAGAGTATAACTCTTACTTTGGGCAGAATACACATGGTCCTATTGTAGGCTGAGAGGAGAAGTCAAGAGAATCATTGGCAAACTTTGTATATGGCGAAGTTGCAGGTTAATTTTGCAAAGGGATTAGATTTTTTTTTCTTGAATAAGAAGAAAATAACAAGAAAAAATCCTGATAAAACTTTTAGATTCCAAAAAAAGCATTGATCTGGTTCTCTGTTCCCTTTCAGCAAGTGTTCACTTGCGAATATTTGTTATTGGTGTAAGCTTTTTCTCTCACTTCTGAATTTTTACATTATTGGTGCTAATGAACTGCTTGATGATTAAGTGGCCTCGTTGTCCTTGTAATCAGTGTGTATTCAGACTCCTTCTTTGGGTGCTTGTTGTCCAATCACAAGGATGATTATTACTCATATGCACTCAATATTTAAAACCACATATTAAATATATGTGTAAGAATAAGCATTATGATAATTAGTGACTGCTTCAATATGCATAATAAACTGTACATTAAATTGCTCTCAACATTACCTCTGGTGTTTTTGAAGAAAAGCCTGGATTGATTGCATAGGAATGGATGTTGTTTTTACAAATTTTTAACAATACCAAATTATGCAAAAACGATATCATATGATTTCTGAGTCATGTGAATGCTATAGAGATTTGTAATGAAAATTGTATCATGGTGAGAGCTAGTTTTATCTGCCACTTGTATCTTCTTGCTAATACGCAACTATCAAAAACTGTCTCAGCCTTTCAGTGTATCCAGTTATATTTCAGTGTTTATATGGAAAAGTTGTTCATATCATATTTTTCATATTTATCCTGTGCGTCTTATTATGCAATCCATACTTAATTTTTTTAATGCAACTTGCATAGGATCCTCAATTTTGTCTTGTAAAATCCATATAACTAATACTGTTTATATTTAAACTCCATAAACTCAAAACTGGGCTTCTGGAAGTCAGAATATTTGAATAATACATATGGTATTCTAAGATTCTTATTCTAACACTTCAAGCGAGAATTACACAGGGTGTGGCTTGCATTACAATTTATGCTAACAGGCAGGTTTATTTAAAATACGTTCCCATAAATTGCTCTGTGACATCTACTTTGGCTACTGGAAGCAATGTGTCTTGAGGTGATAAGCATGACTGGAGGTTTCTCATGCTTTCCCTGCTTTGTCCTCTATGTGAATTATTAGAATTCGCAGGCAAGCGTATACATGGTGACATGCTGTGCTATCTCCTGAAAATGTATTTATCTTTCTGTCTCCCTTCCCATCCCCTATCCCTATCTAGTTGCTTGTATTCACCCCACGGAGCCTATGCCCAAAGCAAACTTGCCCTTGTATTGTTCAGCTATCGATTACAGCATCTCCTGACAGAAGAAGGGAGCCATGTGACCATTAATGTTGTAGATCCTGGAGTCGTGAATACTGATCTCTACCAGCATGTCTGTTGGGCAGTCAAAACAGTCAAGCGGATTACAGGCTGGCTTCTCTTAAAGGTATCTAGGGTGATGTAAGAGTGCCTATTCATGGGGAAGGGAGGGGGACATCTACTCCTTTACTGAAAGATACATCCAGCAAACTTCTAGTATTTCTAAAATCTCATCTGTTGTTATTTTGGCTTCCCTGAAGCCTGCTGGGAGCCCGTATGATACAGTTAGCCTCATTGTAGCCCTCATCATCTGCAAATTCTGATGTGGCACTTAGATGCTGCATAGGCAGCACCAGTTGTTCCAACAGTTTCACTTGAAGCAGTGTTTTCAAACCAGCACATAGAAACACAAAGCTTCATGCTACTTCTGAGTCTGCCCACTTTTGGGGCTTCCTACGACTAAAGAAGTTGGGCAGTTCAAAATCAGCATAGGATTCATGAGACTTCTTGGTTTGATCCAGGGCTTCGCTTACTAAGAAAATCTCAGGAAGCAGGGTTGAGCACATCAGAACCAGATTTGATTGGGCACATCAGAATTATGTATCACACCATTTGGCTCTTCATTTGGCTTGGATAGAACTTACAGAGTCCTCAGTAATTATGCTAGTTTCTGCAGGAACTCTCTCCGTGTTAGTATTTGGACTGGAACTGAAAATTATTAAGAGATACTGAAAGCAGTATTTTGCCACTCACATGCAGCTCTGTTCAGAGGCTTTCTTAGGAATAATAATGATGATGATGATGATGATGATGATAATCTTTATTTATACACCGCCATCATTTCCCCAATGGAGACTCAGGGTGGCTAAAATCAAATTGGATGGGCAGGCCAAATGAAAGAGATAAAATCATAAAAGCCTGGGCGAGGTAAGAAGAGAAAATATGTAAGGGGGGGGGAGCTCAAGTAGGATAAAACAGTGGGGTAAGGCTTTCAGTTTAGGACGGGGCAAAGTGCACACTTTCTGCGGTTCCAGGCGCTTTCCCCATGCTTTGGTGCCAGAACCCATGAGGAAAAGACAGTGATACTCCACGACACAAAAATGTGCCATTTTATTCCCCAAGGTTACACCTCTGCTTCCTTCCCCTTGGCAATTGGCTGTGGTCCCGGCGGCAGCGCATATGCTTCAGACCCCAGGGGAGGGCAGGGGAGGGCCGGGCTTTCTGGCCATGGATTGGCTGGGCTGCCCTCTCCTCCTCTATGTACTTCAAAGGCAATGTGATCAGGAATCTGGAATGCACACCTTCCGGTTCCAGAACTCCAGCTTGATTTTGGGGGAAGTCGCTCCCATCATCTCCAGGAGCCTTTCTTGGAGGTGTTGCACCTGAGAGCAGGCCTCCTCCGGGTGGGCTTTCAGGTATGACTGGAACATGGAGAAGGACTGGACATAGCCCACCAGCTCTGCCATGCTCATGGGGACCTTGTCCACAATGTTGGTGATCAGGAAGCTTGTTTCCCTCTTTCTCCATCACAAAAGGAAGAGAGATGCCCTGAAGCCCTTTCTGCAACTCAGAAGGAGAAGCTCTCAGGTACAACTCTTAGTACTAAAAGGAGCAGTGGTCTAGATGCTTCTGCCTTGCCACAAAGACACCTAGCATATCGTCCATGTCAAGAACTATAGACCACAAGTTTATTACAGGTCCCATAGCCCATTAGAACCAGGTCTTTCAGAAAGGCCTGGATCTAATGGGCTATGTAATTAATTCACTACAAAGCAGGGTTTTCCTGCTTTGTCTCAAATGAATGCGCTTTTACCAGAGGCATTGTTTGAATGCCTCCGGTAAAAGCATGATTGCTCTCACATTTTGGGCCCTGTCTGGATGGGTCCTAGGACTACAGACTTCTTGGAACTGCAGTTCTTGAAGTCCAATTAATGTAATATACTGCTTTCTCTTTTAAATGAAGGTCTAAGAAACAATGACAGAAAGAAAGAAAATATTTTCACTTTCCATTCATGTTAGAAGTAAAGTTGTGTTGTATGGCACTCTTCCTTCCCATAAGATAAATAAGTTAAGTTACATGGGTCTCAGCCATTCTTCTAGCTCTACCATCCATAAAGTCTCTTTCTCAGTTGAACAGCTCTGCTCATCCTTGTTTACTTTTCTTTATGCCTGAAATTCTCTCACTGTCATTTTTCTTCTGTCTTCAGTGTCTTCCTTGAAGCTACTTTTCTGGCAATACATAACCTTTTACTTTTCACCTTCAGACAAATTAAGTCTAAATATTGATAATTAAAGTTGCCATAATCTTCCCATTTTGCCTTTTTTCTTACTAAAGTTTATATTATATGGATGTTCAGAACTTCTCTTCTTGTTCACATTAATGTGTAAAGTGTTGTTTGAATCCAGAGAAACTATATCACTAGGAATTAATCACTGTATATATCTAAAAATTATAACACAAGCTAAAAGTGTGTCAAGATTGCACATTTCAATCATAGGCTGATTTCTTGTAAAATATATAGTAAGCCCAAGATATGCAGGTATATTTGGGATTATGGCATTGGTTGTCCATTTCACAAGCTCTTGAAAATGCATGTTACAGTCTTTTTCAAAGATAGGATAGTAATTAGTGATCACACAGCAAACAGCAATGTATTTTATATTCTGTTACTGTATTGTTCTTTTTAATGAGGAAGGCTTGTCATTCGAAGTTTGGAAATGTTGCTGTTTTGGACTAAGTCCAAACAATTCTGTGGTGGCTGGGAAATTCTGAAAGATGTAAAATAAAAAAATAGCAGGTTTCTAAGGTTACTGTCGCTAAGTGGTCAGTAGCATATAAAATGCATCAGACTTCAGGTTGCATTCTTTCATCCTAAAATAGGGCCGATAAAAGATTGTTTCCTTTCTAAGAAAGTAATTACTAAACCAGGTACACCATACCAAGATAGATGATGTCCATTATCAACAAAGCAAAGTACCTACTTATGGTGGCAAAGGGAGAAAAAAAAAAGATTGGATGTGAAAAAAATCTAATAATGTCATCCATACCTTTCACTGCAGTGATATAACTATACTTCTGGTTTTATGGGTTTTTTTAAAAAATGTGAAGACTGTAATTTTCCCAAATAGCATTAAATGAAATTATTCAATTTCCCATTCTCTTGGACACAAAGTAGTGAATGCAGACTTAATCACACTAAAGGAAAAAAGATATAGGTCTGTTGTTGGTGTACCGACCACCCCGCTGCACCTCAACCACCCTACCTGAGCTTGCAGAGTTGGTCTCAGGCCCGGCATTGGAGTCCCCGCGGCTTGTAGTGCTGGGGGACTTCAATGTACATGCGGAGTCCACTCTTTCAGGAGTGGCTCAGGACTTCATGGCCACCATGGCAACTATGGGGCTGTCCCAACTAGTATCTGGCCCTACCCACTGTGCTGGACACACACTTGACCTGGTCTTCTGTCAGGGCTGGGAAGAAGGTGGCGGTGTGGAGGAGCTGTCAATCTCTCCTTTGCCATGGACCGACCACCATCTGATCAGGTTTAGACTCGTTGCAACTTCTAACCTCCGCAGGGGTGGTGGACCCATTAAGATGGTCCGCCCCAGGAGGCTTATGGATCCAGAAGGACTCCTGATGGCTCTTGGGGATGTTTCCGCTGCCTTGGATGGTGATTCTGTCGATGCCCTGGTCGCTCACTGGAATAGGGAGCTGACTAGGGCAATAGACACGATTGCTCCGGAGCGCCCTCTCTTAAGTCGCCGAGCGAAACCTGCCCCTTGGTTCAACGAGGAGCTGGTGGAGCTAAAGCGAACAAAGAGATGGCTAGAGAGCGTGTGGAGGAAAAAGCCCAGCGAGCCAAACCGAACACGTCTACGCCTTTATCTAAGGGCGTATGGCGCGGCAATAGAGGCCGCGCAAAATGCTTTCTACTCGGCCAATATTGCGTCCGCAAGGAACCGTCCGGCAGAGCTGTTCCGAGTAGTCAGAGGGTTGTTGAATCCCACCTCGAGTGGGTCCCCTGACGACTCGGCAGCGCGCTGTGAAGCATTTGCTCAGTTCTTTGCGGACAAAGTCGCTTTGATCCGTGCGGGCTTTGACACCACATTAACTGCAGTCTCTGAGGATGTAACTCAAGCATCTGCTTGTCCAATTTTGTTGGATTCGTTTCAATCTGTTCAACTCGATGAGGTCATCAGGGTTCTGGGAGAGGCGAGACCTACCACATGCATCCTAGACCCCTGCCCTTCCTGGCTGGTAAAAGAAGCCAGAGGGGGTTTGGCAGAGTGGGTAAAGGTGGTGGTTAATGCCTCCCTTCGGGAAGGCAAGATTCCAGCCAGCTTAAAACAAGCTGTCATCAAACCGCTGTTGAAAAAACCATCACTAGACCCCACTCAATTCGTCAACTTTCGGCCAGTCTCCAATCTCCCCTACTTGGGCAAAGTCCTGGAACGTGTGGTGGCCTCGCAACTCCAGGAATTCCTGGTGGACACGGACTATCTAGATCCGTCACAGTCTGGCTTTAGGCCGGGACATGGTACTGAGACAGCCTTGGTCGCCTTAGTTGATGATCTGCGCCGGGAACTGGACAGGGGGAGTGTGTCCCTGTTGGTTCTGCTGGACCTCTCTTCGGCCTTCGATACTGTCGACCACGGTATCCTTCTGGGACGCCTCGCGGGAATGGGTCTTGGGGGTACTGCCTTGCAGTGGCTCCGGTCCTTTCTCGAGGGTCGCTCCCAGAAGGTGTCACTAGGGGACTCCTGCTCGACTCCTCGGCCATTGCACTGTGGAGTCCCGCAGGGCTCAATACTGTCCCCTATGTTGTTTAACATTTACATGAAGCCGTTGGGAGAGATCATCCGGAGTTTTGGGGTACGATGTCATCTGTACGCAGATGATGTCCAACTCTATCACTCTTTTCCACCTACCACTAAGGAGCCTGTTCAGGTCATGAACCGGTGCTTGGCCGCTGTCTCGGACTGGATGAGGGACAACAGATTGAAACTAAATCCAGACAAGACAGAGGTCCTCCTGGTCAGTCGTAAGACCGAACAGGGTACGGGGTTACAGCCTGTGCTGGACGGGGTCACACTCCCCCTGAAAGCTCAGGTACGCAGTCTGGGAGTTC